GCAGAGGGGCAGAATCCCCTCCCTCCCCTGCTGCCCAAGCTGCTTTGGATGCAGCCCAGGACACGTTTGGCTTTCTGGGCTGGGAGTGCCCGTGGCTGGGTCATGTCCAGTTTAAGAAAGAAGTACCAGGAAAAATTACCTGTCATTCAACTGGTACTCTTTCCACCACATCCATCTTGATCCATCGTTTTCTGCTCTGTGTCTTCAAACCTACATAAAAAACCAAAACGACTGTAGTACATCTAAACCTGCTTATCCAAATAGCTGTTTTGGTTGCTCCATGGTTATTAAGAAAGGTCAAAGAAAATGTACTCCTCTGATGACGTGACCAGAAAACTGGAAACAATGGATGAGACAAGGCTGAGATACCCAGCAACTCTTTTCATTATCAATCTCTTGTTCCTCACCTCTTGAGTGGATGGACAGCATGGTGGGGACTGGTTGAGAGAAGTGCTTCCTTTCTTAAGAGATCAGGTTCCTGATCATTTGAGGAACTTGAATATATGGGATCCACTGAGATGCATCCCAGGAAGTCCTGAGAGAATTGGCTAATGTAGTTGCCAAATCACTCTCTACCATATTTGCAATGCCATGGCAGTCAGGACAAATCCCCAGTGACTGGAAAGAGAGAATAAATACAGTGACTACATCAGTGGACAAGGGAAGGACTGTAAATGTCATTTATCTCCTGTAAAGCCTTTGACATTGTCTCTTACAGCACCCTGCTCTTTACATTAGAGAGAGATGGATTTGATGAGTGGACTTTTAGATGGATAAGGAATTAGTTGGACTGTCATATTCAGAGGGTAATGGTCAACAGCTCAGAGTTCCAATGGACATCAGTGACAAGAGATGTCCCTCCGGAGCTGGTATTGGGACCAGCGTTACTTAATATCTCATTAATTACACAGACGAGGGCATTACATGCACCCTCCGCAAAATTGCAGATGACACCAAGGCAAGTGGTGTGGTTGACACCCCTGAAGGACAGAATGCCACGCAGAGGGATGGGGGCGAGATGGAGAAATGGGCCCATAGGAATCTCAGGATGTTCAACAATTCTCTCAGCATTTCATTGTAGGAAAGATGCTCCATACCTCTAATCATCTTGGTGGCCCTACTCCTTACTTACTCCAACAGGTCCATGTCCTTCCTCTGGGACCCCAGAGCTGGGTGCAGGTTCCAGGTGGGCTCTCAGCAGAGCAGAGCAGAGGGGCAGAATCCCCTCCCTCCCCTGCTGCCCAAGCTGCTTTGGATGCAGTCACGGACACGTTTGGCTTTCTGGGCTGGGAGTGCCCATGGCTGGGTCATGTCCAGCCTGTCACCCACCTTGAACTTAGTCCTGTTAAACCTCATGAGATTCTCATGGGCTCACTTCTCAAACTTGTCCAAGTCCCTCCGGATGGCATCCTTACCCTCAGTGGTGTCAACAGCACCCTCAAACCACTCAAAGCAGATTGGCTGCAAACCTGCCAATGGTTTTCCATTACTGAGGAAGACATTAAACAGTGCTTGTCCCAAGGCAGATCCCTAAGGGACACCGTCTATTACCAATGTTCATGTGAAGATTGAGCTGTTGACCATTACCCTCTGGGTATGACTGTTCAACTAATTCCTTACCCACTGAACAGCCCACCCATTAAATCCTTATCTAGACATTTAGAGAGCTACTGCGCACTTTTAATAGGAAATGTCAGTCCAGGGAGGCTGAGAGATCAGTAATTCCCACAGTCCTCTTTCCAACTTCTTTAAAGGTGGGTCCAATATTTCTGCTCTTCAAGTCACCTGGGACTTCACCTGAGTGCCAGGACTTTTCAAGTACCATGGAGATTAGTTTGGCAACTATGTGATCTAATTCCCTTGGGACTTGGGGAAGCATCTGTCATAGTTGAACTCCAGCCAGCAGCCAAGCCCCAGCAGCTGCTCACTCACCCCCCTACCACTGGAACTGGAGAGAGAATCAGAAGAGTAAAAGGTAGAAAAGTCATAGGTTGAGGTATAGACAGTTTAGGAGGGACACTAAAGTCCATGCACACAAGCAAATCAAGACAAGGAATTAATTCACTGCTTCCCATGGGCATGTGTTCAGCCATCTCCAGGAGATCAGGGCCCTATCACACCTGACAGTGACCTAGGCAGACAAACATCATCCCTCCAAATGTCCCAGCTTTTCTCCTTCTTCACTCCACTTTATATCCTGAGCATGGTGTCACATGGTCTGGAAATCCCTTTTGTCACTTTGGGTCACTTTGGGTCACCTCCTCCCACCCTCCCATGCACTCCCAACTTTCTCACCACTATGGAAGTACAAACAGCAGAAAAGGCCTTGGCTCTGTGTAACACCTGCTCAGCAATAACAAAAACATCTCTGTATTATCAACCCTGTGTTCAGCACATGTAAAAAATACAGCTCCACACCAGCCTCTGTAAAGAAATTTAACTCTACCCCAGACAAAACCAGCACAGCATCTCATCAGATCCCATAGACACATATGTTCAGGTTCTTCAGGTGATCACAACCCTGATCTATTACAGTTGAGAACACTTTTTTCCTTCAGTCCCCATCCTGCTGCCCATCCACTCAAGAGGGGGGAAGAGAGGTTGCCATTGAAAACTGAGGTAAAAATGTGGTTGAGTACCTAATTTTTGTGTACAGCACCGGAACAGAAACATACTTCACCTCAAAGGAGTAATTTTTCTTCTCTAGTTATGAACAGGAGAGAAAATGCAACCATTTGCATTGTTGCTCAGTTGTGTCAAGTGGCACTTGCTGATCTCTTGATTTCTAGCTTGGGAAGACAATTTTAACAATCATGGCATGCTTTCCTGGAACTGGGTGATTGTTTTCCCTTTCTATCCCCTCCTGCTGGAAGCATACAATCTTGTCTTGAAATCACTCACAAAGGGACAAATTGAAAACATTTAGTTCCACCTTTGTCCTGACATTTTCTATGTTTTTCTGTCCACTAACAGCTTTCTGTTCCAAAGTAGATGTTCCCTCTTCCATCTCAGTAAGCCTGTCGCTTAAATTTGAAGGGCCATTTTTACTCCTGTTAGATATTCTGACATGTACTTCAGCTCTTACAGCAATTTTCCCCTCCACAAATGCCACTAATATTTACATTTCTGTGTCCTTTTTCTATCTCTGAAGGACTGTTGATGAGTATAGCTTCAGGTAATTGCTTTTCCCAAGCATCATAATTTGTTTTTCAACAAAAGAACAAGATCCAATTTTTTGAAAAACTATCCAAACGCACTAGGGGAGTTGAAGGAGGGTCAGGGAGTAGGAACAGTGACTTTCATTGGCATTAGTTACCAACATACTCATAACTTCATAACTTACACTTTACAACTTTTTAGTTATGTGGGACAGGCATACTGAAGGTTAATCAGTTCCTTTCATCCAGAATCTAGCTGATGGATAAAAAAAAAGGCATTATTGATTCCAATGTAAGGACATAAAAGTGGTGTCTCTGAATAACAGCAGATAGAAAGAAACAGCAAATTTTCACTCTGGAAAATAGGAGCTGAGAATGCTACTGTCATTTCTCATACTACTAAATCCTGCACAGTGGCAAAAGTAGAAGTTAACTTGTGCTAGCTGGAAGGTTTTGATTTTTAAATCATTCAGTCAAGAAAGGTAGTTCTAACAGAGTCCAAAACATTCCTGTTTCAGCCCACTCAGCAACAGGTGAGAGGTTCAGTGTGAATTTTACTGAACAATTTTCTGGAGAACAAGGCACAATAATGACCGTGATCCATTACAAACTTTTAATCTCAGACCCAGGCCATTGCCACTGACTTAAAAATTCTCCCCAGTGTGTACTTCTACTCCCATTTACTCATCCTTCAAATGAAACAGTAAATACTATAACTTGACACCCCATTTACAAAGTGTCCTGTAAGGGAGGAGTTGTTCCCACTTACAAAATTATATTCTTGGACTTACTCTCTACAAGAGAGTAACAACAGAGAGGTGCTCTGTTGATGTTGTACTGTAGGGAGGGTAAATAAAACTCATCCTTTTCATGACCTAAGAAACATCTGAGTGTTTTCTAAACTGGCTTCTCTGAGCTTTCCAAGTTTGTAGTATGAGGAAAATTAATCATGTTAATGGGAAAACTTAAAGACTTAACAAAATTTTAGTTCAGAGTGTCCTTTTCTGTTACCTTAACTTTCTTGGAAGCTTTCTGGTATCACTTCTTTTTGTCTCCCAGTCTCTCTGTCCCAGGTGAAAGCATTTAGTCTTTTGTATCACTGGCAACCTGCCTGAAGATGCTGCTGCCTTTCCACATTCCCACCTGTTTGAGATCCTTTTCTATACTCATTCAGCTGGTGGTGCTTACTTCAAATTACCATCACCGAAGTGCATCAAATCACAGGGACAGAACGTCACCATCACAGTCGGCAAGCCGTGGATACCAAGGGAACCCCAACATCTCTGTTCATTATTAGGGAGGGAGTAACATCAGGAGAGACTTTATCCCTAAGGGCCGCCTTCAGCATGAAATCCAGCTGCCGCACAGCATCTCCTGAAGCCTTGCTCTCCACAGGTGCCTAACTCAGAAGAAGACTCGGCGCAGGACTGCTGTCTGCCCAGAAGACAATTTACTTCGCAAGCCCCGTCCTCACCGAAGAAGAGGCTTTAGGTGCGGGGGCCCGTGCGGAGGATGCACATGCCGGCTTCCCGAGGACGGGCGCCCGTCGGGGGTCCCCTCCCTTTCGCCCAAGAGGGAAAGGCTGCCCGGGGCGGCGGCAGCAGCCGGCCAAGCAGCGGTGGCCATCAGGTAGGGGCAAGCCCGCCGAGCCCCCGCGCCGGCCCCGCAGCATCCCGCGCCGGGCGGTGCGCGTACTCACGGCAGCGCGGGGCTCCGCGGGGGCCGGCTGAGGACGAGGAGGAGGAGGCGGAGAGCGGGCAGGTGAACCCTCGCGGCAGCTGTCTCCCCGGCCGCTGCTGCTGGAAGCCGCCCGGTCTCTCTACGCCCGGCCTCCGGCAGAGCTCGAGCCCCCTGCGCCCGCCGCCAGCGTGGGAGGGCGCGGCGGGGCTGCAGGCGGGGGAGCCGCTCCGACCGGCTCCGGGGAGCGAGGGAACGAGCGAGGGAGGGAGGGAGCGAGGGAGGAGGCAGGAGGCAGGACAGCTCCCGGCCCCGGCCCGCCCTCCGTCTGCGGCTCCACCGAGGGAAAGCCGAGCGGCGCCGGCTGTCGGGGTGCTCCGTGCCTCGCTGCCCGGGAAACTTCGGAAGCTTGCCGGGGAGCGTCTGTCCCCTGCCCCGAGGGGCGCTCCGGCGGAGGGAAGCGTCCCCGTGCGCACCAGCTGGATGGCGCGGACCCTGAGACCCGACGACATCAACCCCCGGACGGGGCTTGTGGTGGCTCTGGTCAGCGTCTTTCTGGTGTTCGGCTTCATGTTCACCGTGTCTGGCATCAAGGGAGAGACCCTGGGAGACATCCCGCTGCTGGCCATCGGGCCGGCCATCTGCCTGCCGGGCATTGCCGCCATCGCCCTCACCAGAAAGACCGACGGCTGCACCAAATGTCCCGAGAACATGCGTCCGTGCTGTAAGGAAGTCAGGGACCGGGATGTCATGGAGCTGCTAAGGACCCCCTCGGACCTGGAGTCTGGCAAGGGAAGTTGTGACGAGCTGGCCAGGAAAGCTTACCGCAAGGACAGGAGGGGGCTGAGGGGAGAGGACACGGTGTTCATCTGCACCACCAGCACCACCGCCGCTGCCACGGCAGAGTGCAAGAGCCTCACCAAAAAGGTGGAGCAGGAGGAGATGCTGAAATACCTGGAGAGCTGTTACCCAGAGATGCCAGAGAATGTGTTCGTGGGAGATGGCTCCACATACAGTGCCTTGGAGAAGAAGAGCTCTTCTCCCAGCAGGGACAGCACTCCTTGCCCTGACATTGAAGACAACATTTTTGTGGCTCCTAAAGATAGTATCATTGTCTGCTCTTACAAGGATAACAGCCCTTATGACAGGTACTGTTGTTACATAAACCCCACTGGAGTCAATTCAGACCAGGAGACCATTGTGTGAAAGATGCATACTTTATATATATGTATGTATACAAAAACTGAAACTTCAACTTCTTGATAGGGGATAATATAGCTGACTGCATGGGACAATCCTGATACTATTTCAATTTAAAGTGGTATGTGACTGATACTCAAACCTTTTGTGCCTGAAGTACGCTTTCTGTAAGTAAACAAGCATGTTTAAAGGTTAAAGAACTCAATTTTTCATTTTTGGAAAAAAAAAAAAGAAATTTAATTTTAATTTTATTTTCTCCCTTTCCCTCCCTTTTGTTTTACTGTTGCCTGTTGTACCCAAGCCTGTAGGCACACTGGCAGGAGGGCAGCAGTGGCTGTCAGCTGAGATCAAGAGCTGAATGAAACTCTGGAGCTGTCTATAGGAAATGTGGTGCTTTATGGCTGAATAGATTTCTGAAATACTGTCACTTCATTTTGGGAGGAACTGAGAGATGTCAGCATGAACTCCAATAGCTGCCTGATATCAGGGAGTGTAGAAATCATTTGCCTCCCTTCGTTCTTGCTGGATTTTATTTTCCTTTGTGTCAAGGAATAGATGTCCAGACCCCATGGGCTCTTCTGAAAGTCTCCTAGGAACCATATAGGCTCAGGAGAGTTTCCAAAGACTAACCCATCATCAATAGCATGAACATAGATGTGCTAGCTTAATTTTCCACTGGTCTAGAGTTCACTGGAATGTTTCTCATACTTTTGGATTTTTGAGGCATACTTGACAGGGAGAATGCAACATGAATACGACAGTTCTTGCAGAGACTAGGAGCAGATGTCAGTGAACTCAGGTCTTTAAAATATATTTCAGTACCTCAAAAATCGCTTCAGGAATAGACTTCTGTGAGTTATGTTCTGAGTGGGATCTGACTCTTCTGAAAATGCCATTTTCTTGTGCCTTTTCTAAAATGCCAGATGTTTCTGTATGGGGGATGCATGGTGACAGTCCACTCAGGGGTCTCAAAGCCATGCTTTGCTGGGAGAAGGGAACAGAGGACCTGACTGACAGATGGTTTTTTCACAGCTTATGGATACGTAGCAAGAAAATGTGAAGTGGGTAATGAATATTAACCACTCAAATTCAGAGCCTGCAGTTTACATACTGAAATACAAATCCTGGCTATTCTGTCCAACACTAAGTTGCATGTTCCATGCTATGCATAAACATCTTACCTGACCTCTACGATGTAGGGAACAGAGATGTGGAGTGACACAGTGTGCATGCTAAGCGGCTACTGTAGGTGTTCAGGTCTTAGGGTAATGGTTGCTAAAGCATAGAGGAATTTGCTAACATCTCACAAAGCCCCAGTTCCTATAAGCAAACTCCCAGAACACCAAAAAGTTCCTGTGTGATGAAAGTCTTAATAGCTGCTCCTACTTAGATGGTTTTTGTCAGCCATAGGTTGTACCAGAGAAATGTATTGAATTATCAGAGTAGGAAATCAGAAGAACAGCCTTTCATTTGTAACTACCTGAGATGTTGTGTAGAAAATGAAAAGGAATTTTGCACTCAAATGAGGCTTTCCATGCCTATGGAATTGTTTGGAAAGTGAATGTAAATTTTATACATATACTTATGTGTGTATTTGTTTGTTTGTTGAGAAACTTATGTCAAATCGTAACAGACAACCAGTCTCTGAACATGGTTCCAGAAGAAGAAAACAATTTTCTGGCTAGCTTGGTGTCTTTCAGACCAAATAAGATGTTGACCCTTTGGCCAGGCTTTTGTGGGCATCTGGATACTACTAGGATAAATTCAAAAAACACTAGCTAGTTGAAGTCAGGCAAAAACTCTGAATAGGTGGTTACGGGCAGCTGTGCTGCTCAGGCATGCAGCAACAGTACTGTGGTAACAAATGGATACCTGCACTCTGTGCAGCCCAGGTTTTATCGAATGAGAAAAGGAATTCCACAAAAATCAGGCCCTCTCCCTGACATGTTCGACTTCCACATAAAAGCATTCAGTTGATGTCAGCAGCTTGCCTCCTGCTTAGGCTTAGTCACTGCAGGACCTGATTCTGCAATGTGCAGAGCAAGTCTTTGCTGGCACCAGAAGTCTTATTTCTTGACTGTGAAGCCAACAGCTAAAATGCTGCTGATGAACGTGATGACAAACAGGGTCTTTTGTTTTCTGCTTCTAAGCACAGCAGGTGAGGGTTCTCATTGTGTGCCCAGGGGTGCTCAGCATCCCTGGGGACCAGACCCACCATGAGAAAACAGGCTACTGCCTGCTGCCTTTGACAGGCTTCTGAGTAATCGCTTGCCTTGCAGAAGACAGCCAGACACCAGCCCGCTGGGAACCTAGATTTGTACAGTTCTGCAAATATATATATATATAGGAAGAAGTCAAGTTTCTCCATTTTGTCTAGGATTAGATGTTCTCTGTCAAAAGTTACATGGGCTTTTTCAAGACAAGACAGCAAACTCTAGTAACAAATGGAATAGTAAATATATAACAATATACAGACATGCAGATCTGAGTCATGTGCTTTATTCCGTTTTTAGTGTAAAAACAAGAGAATGCTTGTATTCAAGCAAAGTTTAATGGGAGTGAAAACTTCTCACAATATAGAAAGAGGTATAAAAAACCACGTTTTAAATCTGATATTTACAGGCAATGACATCCATCCATTCATTCAGCTAAGATTTCACAATAAAATAAAACTTTAAGCAATATTTTTGGGCTAATATACCATAATCCTCTAGATTTGTTTATTGAAAGTGTGAGAATTTGAAATTAGAGAAATAAATTCGTACTGCCTCTGAAATCTCTTTATTTTTCCTTTTTTTCCCCTGCTACTTTACTAGACGATGAAATGGAAATTGATTAATTTGGCCATTAAAAATATGAATTTTGAAATTTGAAAATGGCAGGGGTTTAGACTTTTTGTTTGTTGGGGGGTTAGGTATTAAGGTTTGGGTTTTGTTTTGTTGTTTTGGGGGTTTCATGGTTCTGTTGGTTTGAGGTATTTTTATAATAAAGTGGCCATTTATAGTTTTGCCAGTAGAAATCTAATGCATATTTGAACACTGACATTATGACAGCATTTTCAAAATTTTTATGCAGATAACATGCCCAGATCAGAGAGCACCTAGGACTTGATTTTCATTTAGCTCACGTGGACACTAGAACTTGTGATCTTAGAACAAGTAGGAATAATTACTTTGCTTTTCAGAGGCAGCTTCTAGTCTGAATTTGGCTTCAGGATACCACAGCTTGGGGTGTGATTCCAAGCTGTGACCAGAGATGACAGCTTCTTTCTGTTCTTGCTACATTAAAAAACCTTTGGGTCAGAGTCTCACTTCTCTCCTCAATGCTCTCTTCCATGAAGTTGTAGGGGAGCTCAGTTTGGGGGATAAATATCTTGGGGGATAAATGTCTTGTGAATCACATATTGCTTTGTCCTAAAGTGGCAGGGTGTATAAAGCATTTAATGGAAAACAGTAATTTGGACATTAAGAGAAGTTTCCTAAGATAGATAAACTTTATTTTTGGAATAGCATTTATCATAGTTCTACAGTGTAGTTTATCTTAAGAGACATTATGATATGCAGATCAACAAAGGGCAATTTGTGTTGCTTTGTTTAAATTTCTGTTGTCGTAAGTAGCATTGTTACAGTCATACAAGCTGATCACTGCAGAGTCTTTACAAGACAATTTGAAATTTCAATCAGTATGCACTTTGTCCTCCTGAGTGCAAAACAATAGCCGGTCCTTTTGGCCTGGAACTGAATAAGTAAGGGTTGAGTGCTCAGAGTGTGTCCCTCTGCACTGTGTTGTACTCTTGATCTGCATTCTGTAGAAATGTCACACTCTTGCAGAGGCAGTTCCTCCCCCTCTGATCCAAACTCTCTGCAGTCCTGGCTCCAGTAGCTATTTATTATGTTGTAATTTAGTGGAGTAATAGCTACTGTGACCCTCTCTCACCATATGTGCTGCTACATACCAGATTTCACGGAGTGAGCTCCTGTGTTTGGCCAGGATGGGAGAATTTGACACTACATCATCCATCCAATCTAAACTGTTATGTTGAGACATTCAGTTATATTGTCAGCTCTTGCAGCACAAGCTTTGGATTCTGCCATGGGTCAGAGGTGGGTTACTGTCAGGTCACAAAGCACTGCCAACCTGATTTTCATGTTTGTGTGGGGTCTAGCCTATTTACTTGCAGAGCACAATTAGCACATAAGACCTTGACTCTCAGCGTGTTGCCAGTAAAGTCATGGCATAGGAAACTTTTGAGTCCTGAAAGGTTTCTGTTGATGCTTCTAATATAAATTGTATTAAAACTTGTAGAGGAGTTTCCTAATATATAGGCTAGAGGTATTGTCTTGACACATGGCATGGGGCATCAGCTGCAAAGCAGCTCATGCTGAGCCCATTTCCACTCTGCAGCCAGTCTGAACATACAATCCCTACAGGGAGAACTGTCAGTGGGTTTGTTACTTCTCTGGTGGCACGGGGTCTTTTATGTCTGTAAACCACAGAGAGAGTGGATTGAGAAGTCACTTTTCATGCACCCTGGCAAAATTTCATAGGTAAGCATTACCTTTAATTTAGCAGTCCTATCCGTGCTAGAATCCCAGACGCTCTATTGTCTTCACCAGACATGAAGAATCAGCTTTCCTTAGTTTTTAAATCTTTGTGTGTTTTGTGTTCAGAGCAGTTGCATGGATTAACCTTGTGTCGGATATATGGAAGTGTTTATGCTTAATGGTTTTACTTACAAGATGCACCCTGGATGGGTGTGTGTATATATGCTAAACATTTGCCTGGAAGGGCAGGCAACAGAATGCACAGTCATAGCACCACAGTAAGCTGAGATCTCCTCCAAGGTGTTTTTCCAACACCTTACCCAGATTTTCTGCTCAAGTCTATTGCTGCCATTTAAAATTCCTTCAGTTCATTAGGAGAAAAAACTTATTCTAAGAACGACTCTGTTGTGGCTTTCTAAGAACACACAGTTCTTCCAACAGAGTTCTTCGAATAGATATTCCTTGTCTGTGTTTCAGTATGGCCCCTGTGAATACCTGGAAATTGAAGTCTGAACTTT